TCATTTCATCTCTGATAGTGAGAATTAAGTCCAATATGAATGATCCCCTAGTTCCCTTTACTTTTTGGGAGACAAAGTTGTCTGCTAGATTTGTCAGGTTTGAGCTTCCACTTGGTGCAGAATTTGTCTCCCAGTTGATGTCAGGGTAATTAAAGTCCCCCATTTCTATTGTGATGTGCTTCCTACATACTTTAGTTAACTGGCTAGCAAAAAGTTCATCTATTACCTCTGTTTGGTTTGGTGGCCTGTAGTATACACCTATGGCATTGTCATTTCCCCCCTTTTATATTGACTCAAATGCATTCAAGACAGTTTTCATCATTGTTGTGCTCTATTTCTGTAGAGATGTAGTTATTTCTTATATAGAGAGCAACTCCACCTCCTCTTTTATTTGGTCTGTTTCTTTTAAATAATTTAAATCCCTCTAACTGTGTGTTCCATTTGTGGGTTTCATGCCACCAAGTTTCAGTAATGGCAACAATAGCATATCTGCCCTCATTTACCTGAATTTCTAATTCACCTTGTTTGTTGCTCATGCTCTGTGCGTTGGTGTATAGACATTTGAGTCCTTTATGACTAACCCTGTGTTTACTTTCTACATAACCTTTGTGGTGCCTGAGTTCCCCTATTTTCTTACTGCCTGTTTGATTAGTGCACTTTGTGTGGCACTCGCTATTAAAAGCTTGATTTTGCTTCACAGCAAGGTTGATATTCTTGTCCACACACACATCTGTTACATGCACTGATAACCCTATAATTTTTAGATTGCAGGGAACAGGAATGTTCTGTATCAATTAACTCAATGTCCCCGTTGTTCAGTTTAAATATTTCTCCAAAAAATCAGTGAATTTATTACCAAATAACTCAGTCCTTTTCTTTGATGGATGCAAATCATCTCTTTTTCATTGGATCAACTGGAGACATTGTGACTAATATAACCAAAGCCTTCCCCTTTACTCCTTTAGCCACATATTGAATTCTGCTATATGCTGACCTTTTCCATTTTGCTCCTTATACACTGGTAAAACCTCTGAAAAAGTAAGGCTACAGCCTATCCTGCTAAGTTCCTGCCCCAAGCTCTGGAAATCATTCTACACAGAGAGTGCATCTTTTTGGGACAGATCGTTTGTGCCAAGATTTACAATAGCATCCACATTACACTCCTTGCTGGCATTTTTTACTATCTTATTTAGCAAGTTTATATTGCTGCCCATCTCATAAAAAGTGATTCTGGGGGTTTTAAAGCAAAATTCCAAATTATATCACAACATAAAAAACCTCAGAAATAAAGAACAACAAAAATAAAAAACAACATAAAGGAGTAAAACATAAACGGATCCCAGGATAGCTGGAGAACAATCATAATTTAGCCTTATTGAAGCACTTTGCAAATGCACCATGGGATTCTCAGGGTGATGGAAGAACCAGGTTTTCAAGGCTTTCTGGAAGTCGAACCTCATCACAGGGGAAATGATAGCTGAAACGTCCTGGGTCCCACCAGATGGAAATCCTTTGCACAGGATTCAGAGCATAGCTCTTCTGCTGATGGGTTGGATACGTATAATCGAGTAAATACAAATACAAATAACCTAGCACTCAGAAGCAAACTGGCAAACTGCAGCCCATGGAAGAGATACACATACTGTAACTGTTCACACAGCTATATTCATTGCTAGCCGAAGCTTCCAGATGCTCTTCAATGTCAGAGACTGGTAGACAGTTACAAGAAATACCTATTTTTGGTAGTTTCTGAGGAAGGAGAATACCAAGTATTAGAACCAAGAATATGCTTACTTTTCCATAGAAATAGATTATCTGATTATTATTTGGAATAATTTTTTGCAAAGTCAGTTTTCATAGTGTCTTTATTCAATTATAGTAAAACCTCCATAGTTGACCCCCTCCCTACATTTACCACTCCCTAAGTTGTTTTCGTAGTCCGGACATACACTATATGTACACAATAGAAAGCCAACCTCTCTATATTGACCACCTGAGTCCAGTCTGCACAATGGCCAGAAAAGTGAAATGAATTCCTTTCAAAAAGAATATAAAAGAATACAATATTTTTGACTTTGATTCAGCAGTAAAGATGACGATATCTTTAACACTGACAAGTGTTGACTCTTTTTCAAGGTGATGCCTGGCAGTAGCCTCATTATAAGGGGTGACAAATGTAAGAATGGAAAACTTTCTAAAGAACATTTCACAGTTTTGCTGTGTGCTAGCTTAACCAGAGAGAAGCTAAAACCTTTGGTGATTGGTAAATCAGCAAAGCCATGCTTATTCAAGAACTTGCAGCACAAAGATCTTCCCATCACCTGGAAATCTAACAAATCTGCACGGATGACTGGTGCCCTATTTGAGGAGTGGGTAACAGGTATTGACTGAGAAATGAAGAAGAAGAAACAGTCCATTCTCCTTGTAGTGGACAATTGTGAATCATCTTACAAATGTGAAACTGAATTTTTTGCCTCCCAATATTACATAAAAAATTCAACCTCTCGATCAAGGCATAATCAAAACATTCAAAAGGCACTACTGAGCCCAGGTTCTGCAATGGGTCATTGCTAAAATGCAAACCTATGGCCCATCTGGAGAAGAAAAATCCTAACCCTAACTATAACTTAAGTGAATTAAGTGAGGAGGACAGAGAAATTGCAGAAATTCCAAAAGAGGATGTCAGTCACTTGATAATGCAGTTAGTCATTTGCCATGGAAAAATGCCTATATATACTGAGTGGTATAACCAATATTGAGAGTGCTTTCTCTGCTTACCTTCATAAAAAGAATAAGAAACAGACTAAAATTGACTATTTTTTAAGAAAGAATGATCAAACCAAGAAAAAACAATACATAAATGTATTGATTTTGTATGATACAGTATTGTATGAGTGATTTTCCTGTGTTTTCACTATATGTGTTTCTATATGACATTCTCTAATAAAAAATGTACAATAAAATTAGGCACATGTACATATCAGTACAGTTGGTTCATATGTTGACCACTTTTGTTCAGTCCCTTGGGTGGTCAGCTTTCAGAGTTTTACTGTATGTCACTTTTATCTTTGAATTTAAAAATAATCTTCTGACAGATAGTCTGCCATTATGTTCAAGCATCCTCTGGTACAATGAAGAATTTATAGTTGATTCTGTGGTGTGAATGCCCAGGGTATGATGCAGCAAAGCAGCTCCAAAGCATAACATTTCCATCACCATGCTTTACAGTTGTATCAATTTCTTGTACTGGAGTGTTGTCTTTGTTTTTCACCAATTGATGTCCAGTTGTTTGGTAATCTTTTAAAATCCTTTCCTAGACTCATAGGGATCTATAATCTTTCTGAAGATATTAGAGAAACTTCAGCAACAAAGAACAAATGAAACTAAATGTCTGAGGTTTTAGGTTCCTGCAAATCCTCTCTAACACTGTTCTAATCATTTATACCTCATCTGGTGCACTTGATTCTAATTTTAGGTATTTGAGGTAGTGATGAATATCTTTACTTTGTAAAGTATACTTTTCCTCATGCAAGGTGTACTTACTTTTTCCACATGCAAATATTTAAGTGACACATACACATTATGTAAATGGTGTATTACATTTGTTATATCCCTTTATCAATATAATTGAAATAAGGATCAAATATCTATATGTTGAAAGAAGTGAAAATGTTAATGATGTCTTCTTAGTTTTTTACATGTCTCTATGTATTAAAGGTATTTTAAAGATCTTAGAATCTTTTGTTTTCAGGGTCAGGTGTACTAATGAATTGTAGGTACTAATATATCCTCTAATCACATCTTGATTGCTAATAAACGAAGCATTTTATTTTGTGAGTTAAAGTCTTGATGATTTGAGAGGAGTGGTGTATGTCAAAGAGCAGCTGTAGTATTTTATCACTCTTCTGCTGTCAATTGAGTCTATTACACTGGTAAGAAGCCTAATTTAAAAAATGAAATCTCCTAAAATCATTGTTTTAAAATGGCATATATTCATTTGGGACATGGTTGGAAAATTGGTTAATATTTCTTTTGCCTTTCTGTTGGCAAAAGAGTTTAAAATATAAAGATATTATCTATGCCCATGATATATTACAGGTTAATTGTTGAATGTAGGTAACAATGTTACCTTTCTGTTTTGTTTTATGCTTGTGAAATAATCAAGAAATAATTCTTAAGTGAGCTTGCAGCTATACCAAATTTATATAATGAATTTGACATCAATAACTTTGGAGAATAATCAAGAAATCTTAAATAAGTGTGCACTTATCAGTAAATATACCTAAATTACACATTGAATCTGACATCCTTGATTTTTGGAGAATGTACATATTTAATCAAATATATGTCTGTTCTTAATATAGATTTAGTTTGTATTGTCAGCTCAACCTTAAATATTTATAACATACATGGATACCTCTTTTTATTATTTGATAGAACACTTAAAAGAAAGACTAGAGGATTATATTAAGCAGTGGAATGGCCTTGTAAAGATTTTTCGAAATGAAAGGAGAGAAGGTTTAATTCAAGCTAGAAGCATTGGAGCCCAGAAGGCTAAACTTGGAAAGGTAGAATACTGTTTGCTAAATAAAATCCTTCTTTCCATATAATCTCAATTTTATTTTTAATAGATCCTAAACCACATTATTATTGTAACCACGGTTCTTTAATTGCAAAATTACATTTTAAAAAATAAACTCAACTTGTATTTTTATAAGAAAATAAAAACTAAATTGAAATCTCCTTTCCTCTTTGTTTTTTAAAGGTTTTAATTTACCTTGATGCCCACTGTGAGGTGGCAGTAAACTGGTATGCGTCACTAATAGCTCCTATATCTAAAGACAGGTAATAATTTGCTTATTTCTATCCCTCAGGAATCCTTTAAACATTGTAATTTTGTAGTATCCAAAATAGATAATCATTTTTTTAATAGGTAATTTTCTAACACATTTTTTCAGCTGCCCAAATAGGAGTTTGCAGGTTGGCTGATAAAACACTTGTTTTCTCTACAAAACCAATTTAGGGGAAAAATACTTACATTAACAGTTTTTATCTGAAGTATACTTAGCACTGTAAATAGTTGAAGTTCTGTTACTACCTAAAGACATTAATTGCATAATTGATTTCACTTGTGATGCAAACAGTTGGCAAGTTAATATCCATATTTACACAAATGAAAGCTACATTAAAATGAATAAAAATCTGAGAAAGTAGTCCTCAATGTGCAAAGCAGAATTGCATATGAATAGTCAGAAATAAAAGATATTGTTTTAAATTGTTTCCCTTCTCCTTTCTTTTAAATAATGAGTTTGGGTAATTACATCAGAGCACTAGTTTTGGTTTCAAAGTGTTCCAGTATTCATAAATGTACCTGTTAAAATAGTATATTTGCTAGGTTTAAATCAGACCTAAAGTTTTAAAAAAAATCTATGACATGTTTAAAAATGTATCTATTAAAATAATATATTTGCAAGCTTTACATTGTTTTTTTAAAAAATTGATGACATGTTTAAAAAACCTGCAAAACCACTTGACAGTCCCTCTGCCTCATGAAACCAAACAAGACAAATGCATTTAACAGCAGAATGCTACATTGTCCAAATGCAGAACATGCAATTTACATCATTCCCTTTCACAATTAATTTTCAAGAATCTATGTAGGAAAAGATAAATGTATTCTCAACATTAATTTGAATTCATTCTGTTAATTCATAATCTCTGTTCCTCAGTTTTATTTTATAGGAAAATTAGTGTATATCTGTGTACTCTATTTATTCAAACTATATTTGGATAAGGCATTAAAGATAGTGGGTAATCTATTAGATTAGACAGCTTAACCTTGTCTCTTCCCCTTCCATAAATATTTCAGAACTACATGCACTGTGCCTCTAATAGATTACATAGATGGAAATGACTATTCCATTGAACCACAGCAAGGCGGGGATGAAGATGGCTTTGCCAGAGGGGCCTGGGACTGGAGCTTGCTATGGAAACGTATTCCATTAAGCCACAAGGAAAAGGCAAAAAGAAAATATAAAACTGAGCCATATCGGTAAAGAACACTGTTTTGTAATACTGATCTTTATTAATTCATGCTTACCTAAATCCTTTCATTTTTTCCCCCCTCTTTTCCATGAACCATGGTTCGTTTAAATGTACCATATGCCTTCCTTCATCCTCACCATCATCATCCAAAATCCTGCAGAACCACATGTACTGTGCCGCTTATAGATGTCATAGATGGCAACACTTATAATATTGTACCCCAAGGGGGTGGTGACGAAGATGGGTTTGCTAGAGGAGCATGGGATTGGAGCATGCTCTGGAAGAGGGTTCCCCTGACCAAACGTGAGAAGGCAATGAGAAAGACAAAAACTGAGCCGTATCGGTAATCACTAAATGGCTTAAATGTTTTTCTTTTTCTTAATGATGTACTGACCTATTAAATAATTGCATGATATTCTATTCTTAAAAATAATGCTTTCAAATAAGTCCTATCTTTTTTTTCCCACTAACCTGTGATTAAGCGTTTCTTATATAACTAAATTAACTTTTGCAACTTGTCTATAGTATGCTTATTTACTCTATTTTCTAAGCAAAATATATAATACATAATTGCTGCTTTACAAATTGCTTTGAATGGATGTTGCAATTTGCACATCCTTCAGATTATTAATGTCTGCTATTTCAGTGCATGGTTATTCTTCACTAGAAAAGTAATGATCAAAATGGGAAATAGCAGAGCATGTTGATATCAGTGTAAACTTGCTGCCCTTCTGACATCTTGGGCCCATTTCCAGTGTATTGAATTGCCTTATATATTATTTTATTTTGTGTTTTATCTTTTAACACACTTGAATGACACTGAGATTAGCTTCAATTACTTAGTAGTGTGATAAAAAATATAATGGTATGCTATGCTGAAAGGGAAACATAACAGAAAATTGTAAATGCTTGCAGCTATTGCCCAGTTTTTCTATTCAGTGTTGGGCCTACCCCAAAAGAAAGTAAACAAAACTTTCAGGGCCAAGAGTTTTGTCAAAGTTACTCCTGCAGAACAGCTCTGTGGCAAGAGAACACCTTGGCCAGAGCTCTCTCAAGCTTGGTGTCAGGAGAAAAATTGACCTGACAAATTATTAACACTGTATTATTAACACTGATGACAACAAAATGCATGATACTTTAGGTGTAAATATTTTGATTTTGTTGATTTTTACAATTCTCTTTAATTTGTTTTCACCAATAAAATGAATGTTCAAAAAGAAAATATACCTACCTGGAAAGGAATAAGGAATGTCCCTTTTTCCTGTCCCCGTATTAATAGGCCTGTAGTTCTGCTTTAATTCAATTATTCTTCACTAACAGTGCAACCAGGCTTATTTTCAAAGATTCTTTTCCTTTAGCTAAATATATTTTTTTTTATCATTTCCGCAGTTTTAAAAAATGGATGTGTTTTTTTTTACTTTGTGATTTATTAAGTTTGAAATATTTTATTGAAATTATGAAGCTTTGATAAATTAATTAAACATTGTTGTTCTCTAGCAGAAAAATGTTTTGGCCCATTCTCAAATCCCAGTATTTTCAATAGTTTATAGCAAAAACTTCAGTAGCTAAGCATTCCAGTCACTTGGCCTACTAAGAGCTTTTTTTAACTTTTACATGTTGCAATCTATTTTGAATTGATACAACTATTGGCATTGTGAATAATGCCTCCTTATGTAAAAAATAAAGCAAACTATAATACTTTTTTCCTTTTAAGCTTGGAAAAGGAACTTTTCCATTCTAGCATTTCCCCCATATGTTATTGTTTAAAATTCTTAAAAGAAAGAATTAAACATTTAATCTGTTTCAGTATTCCTAAATTCTAATGATCTTATTGTGACTTCAGAATCAATGCTTTATAATTTCTGCATATCTAAATTATTCCTTGTTTCTTTAATAAAATAATCATTTATGCCATGCTGCATACAAACCCTTTTTGTTTATCTTCTAGATCGCCTGCGATGGCTGGTGGATTATTTGCCATTGAACGTGATTTCTTTTTTGAGTTAGGTCTCTATGATCCAGGTCTACAAATCTGGGGTGGTGAAAATTTTGAAATATCCTACAAGGTAAACAGTCATTCCAGAGAGTCTATTACCATTGTTCAAGTAAATGTGTGGTCACTTTTCAGGCTACTTTTCATGTTCACCTTCATTGATAAAGGAAGTAAATGCCATCTCCTTTCTAGCAACCTGCTTCTAGTTAAGGTTATATAGACAGTTATGTAATACTCTTTCACTTATGTAATCCTTCATTGTGAATAATCTTAAATTTATTTTTGTTTTGTTTTATAGTGTAAAGCAAGTGTTTTGGGGGTTTTGGGGGTCTCTAAGCGAAGTGTAGCTGTTTTTCTGTAAGAGTTTTTAAAATAGTATATTTAGTGATCTTGAATTTGTGCCTTATTTGCCTAATATTTTGGGAGATTGACTTAAAAGGAAATTTGCATAAGTGTCAGATCCTCAACCTATCTGTTCATTTCATTTTTTCGGGTACTGACATTCTGTTAGGAGGGGGGAGGTTTCGCTCTTTGGGGAGAGGAAGCTCTGTGGGTTCTGGGATGTATATCCTTTGTTTTGTTCTTTTCACCTTTGATGCATCTCTCTGGGTGTGAAAGAGAGGAGGAATGTGTCTGGGGCCACCTGTCTTATCTCTACACTGCTGGGAAGAGACCGGGAAGAAAATGAAACGCCTGTGAACTGCAGTTTATCACTCCGGTTCTCATAACAACTTCGCACCTGCGGATTGGCTAAAATGAAACTGGACAATTTGGTACTGGAGAGGAGTTTGAAAGGAGAGTTTTAACGTACCATTTTGCATGGGAATTATTCAGACCTTGCCTTGCTATTCTGCTATCACTATCTCTCAATAAAAGTTCCTTTTGAAACAATGCTAGTTTCAGGAGTTCTGCTTCCTTGGGAATGCTAGCTGAGGCAGGACCTTACATTAGGCAATATCTGGAAAGTGGTCAACCCGGAGAGGCATCTGCCCTACCGTGGGGATTGTGCACATTATGTCCATGGCAGTGAGCAGGACAAGACTGAATGGTGAGAAGAGTCCACACCAAGACTCACCCTGAAGACATGGATGGAAGAGACAGCTGCCATTGAGGAATCTACGAGGCTGAGGTGGTCAGTTGGGGTGGGAAAAAGGGAAGACTGAGACAGAAGGACCCAACGGGTAACTTTCACCTGGGATACCCAAAAGCAGGGCTGGAGGTGCAAAATGGAACTGCTCTATGATGACAAGGAGACCGAGGGAGAGCAAACCCAACTGACCAGATCCTGAAACAAGCAATACACCTCATGGTGGAAGCTTTTCAGGACCTGAAAGTGAAATCTGGGCAGCGCAGAGGGAAAAGTGAGGAACAACTTGAAGAAGCAACGGGTGGTAAGAGCAGGTCTGTAGCTATTGAAACCGCAGCGTGGGCGACTGGCTCTACTGAGACAGCAGTAACCACCCCAGCCACCCCGCAGCAAGCTGGCCCCTAGGGGTGAATGTCCCACAAGCAGCCAGGGAAAGAGCCACGCACTCTGAGCCAAAATTGGTCCCCCTTGGGATGAAATTTGACGGGGATCCCCAGGAATTGGGATTCTTCCTTGCTCATGTTCTGGAGCCCTTGCCTGCCTACATGATTGGTACATCCTGGCCGAAGAAGTGGAGATCAACCAGAATTGCAACAAGTACAGGTCAGGCAGGGTTTGGAAGCGATCTCCACTGGAAAAGAAGGGTGGCAACCAAACCCACGGCAGCTCAACTGCGTTTAATTGGTTGCTTCAAATGTGGCAAGGAAAGCCATCGCACTTTGGAGTGCTGCACGAAAACCCCTGCCAAGAAGGGAGACCAACTGTCTGGAGGGAAGCCGATGAAAACTACAAAAGGACATGGCCCTGAAGAGCGCGGAGTTCGTAGAGTTCTACCCAATCCCAAAATTAGGAGGGGGACTCTGACCCTGCCAGAGGATGGACCGGGGATGCCCGAAAGCGACTACAACGATGATCCCTTGGTAAGTGGGACAATGCCCATAGAACTGTTAATCCTGGACAAGGAAGAAAAGGTGGCTCTAAATGTCCTACTTGGGTTGCACCAGGTGCCTAATCAGCCCAATCTTGGTAGGGAAATTACATTTGCCAACTTGATGGTCCATCGCAGGGAGCGTCCCAGTGAATTTTGTCACAACCCCTCTCAGACTAGTCATGGGAGGCCACTCAGACTCTAACCTTTATAGTGGCACCTGGCATGGAATGGCCTCTCAAGGTTGACCTGGCTGAAGAAATAGAACCCGCTAGTGGATTGGAGAGAAGGATGCTTGAAATTCCCTAAAGGAAAAACTCCCTTACCAAATAAGCACAACCGCTCAAAGAAGGAACCAGCCTGAGAAGTAGTGGCTGCGTTGAGCGGTGAAACCTTGGAAAACATATCTAGAGAGTATACGAGCTAGTTGAAGTTTTCAGCGAGAGGAGTAGGGATGCGTTTCCCCCCCCCCAACCCACAGAGTGTGCCATTGAAATCGTCCTGGAGCTAAACTGCCAAAACCAAAGCTATATTCGATGACTCCCAGGGAATTAGACAAACTGCACCGGTTCATAGATAAAAATCTGGCCTGTGGCTTCATCCAGCCGGCCAGACCCCGGGTGGCTGCACCCATATTGTTTCAAAAGAGAAGAAAGATGGGTCTCTTCATCTCTTGCCCCTCATGAAAGATATGCTGGCCAACCTCTCGAAGGGAAGAATATTTTCTAAATTAGACCTGCAAGAAGCATACTACTGGGTCAGAATCAAGGAAGGGGATGAGTGGAAAACTGCTTTCAACTGCCCTCTCGGTTGCTTCCAATTTAAGGTTCTGAAATTTGGTCTACAGCTCCCCCTCCCCGCTGTATTCATGCAACTGATCAATGAAGTGCTTCATGAGCACCTGTATAAGGGAGTTTTGATGTACCTGGATGATGTATTAATTTGCACCGAAATGAAAACTGAGCATGTGAAACCAGTCAGGGTAGTCCTGAACAAACTCCGTGTAGCTAAGTTATATGCAAAATTGTCAAAGTGCGGGTTTCACAAGGAAAAAATCAACTACCTAGGCTACCAGATCTTACACAAGGGGGTAAAGATGGATCCGGAAGATGTGCGGGCCGTCTTGGAGTGGGTTACCCCTGCGCCAGAAAGCAATTACAGAGCTTCCTGGGCTTTGTGAATTTCTATTGGCAATTTATCCCCTCCTTCACAGAGAGTACGCTCCCTATCACAAATCTATTAAAGACTAAGAGAGTGGATAAGCCGAAGCCCAGCCAACCACTGAAATGTACTATGGAATGCCAAGCTGCCTTTGAAAAGCTAAAGAAACTTCTCAGTGGAGCCAGGGCTAAGACACCCAATCCAGAGAAACCATTCATAATTCAGACCAATGCCAGCGATGTAGCGGTGGGTGCAGTACTTATCCAAGAGAATGTAAAGGGCCAATTACAGCCCTGCACTTACACTTCAAAAAAGTTGTCAGAGACTGAACAATGCTGGGCGGTCTGGGAGAAGGAAGTTTACGCAGTGCAGTGGGCTTTCCTCACCTGGAGGCACTTCCTGGAAGGGAGCAAAATCCCTTTCCAAGTTTGGATTGATCATAAAAACTTAGAGGCTCCTAAGACCCCCAGAAAATTGTCTCCCAAACAAGCAAGGTGGGCCCAACAATTTTACTCTCCACTACTTGCCATTAGGAAAATACTTTCTGGCTGACGCTTTATCAAGGATGCCACAATATAACAGCATAAAAGCAGAGGTAATTAAGCCTCTACCCTCTGCACAATTAGCATCCCCATAATTACAAGGGCACAGGCAAATGACAGCCCGTCGCTAGACAATGCCACTATAATGGCGCTTAAACAAGCCCTAGAAAAAGAGTGGTTCCTAAGCCATAAAAACCTCTGCTCAATGCGGGATGGACTAGCATGGGTAGGGGGGAAGCTGTACATTCCCACCACCGAAAGACTGAAAACAATGCAAGTCTCCCATGATTTAAAACTTGAGGGACACTTTGAATTTGTAAAAACCCTACATTTATTGAGCATGCAATTCTGGTGGCCATCTTTTAAAAAAGACATCGAAAGTTATGTGGCCAGCAGCAAAACGAAGACAACGAAAAACGCCTGGCCTTTTGCAGTCGGTAGCAAACCCTTCAGCACTCTGGAGAGAGATCTCTATGGATTTCATCGTAGAACTGCCAGAAAGAGCAGGAAACACTGTCATTTGGGTAGTGACTCACCTGTTTTCAAAGCAGGTCCACTTTATCCTGTACCAGAAGATCCCAACTTCCAAAACTCTAGTAAAACTGTTCCTCCAACATATCTATCGATTGCATGGGGCCCCTCACAATATAATTTCACATAGAGGGGTCCAATTCACCTCAAATTTCTGGAAGGCGTTATTGGACCTCTTAGGAAGGTCCATGGAACAGGGCTTGAGTTCTAGTCACCATCCTCGAATGGGGGGACAGAACAAACGAACTCAATCCTGGAACAGTACTTAAGATGTTTCATCAACTACCAACAAGACAATTGGACTGACCTCTTGCCATTTGCTGAAGTGGCATATAACAATGCTGTATACTTTTCAAGTGGCCAATGCCTGAACTGCCAGGCAATGAACCCACCATCCCTTCCCTTAAGGAATGGATGAATCAACTGCAGAACAGGAAGGTCAGAAAGGTTCTCAGTGAGGCCAGAGAAGCCTATAAGGCTCAGGCAGATAAAAAGAGAATGGAACCTAAACCTTTCCCCACTGGGAACAGGATATACCTGTCTACTAGATTCCTGCAGTCACTACAATCCTCCAAAAGGTTAGGACCAAAATTTATGAGTCCCTTCCCCATCAAATGCATCATAAACCCAGTTACAGTAGAACTGGAACTTCTCAAGGCATTAAGGCAGATCCACCCTGTATTTCATTGCAGTTTGCTAAAACTTGAGATAACCTCGCCTCTATGGCTTATGACAGCCCACCACCGCAACCCATTATGGTAGAAGGTGAGCAACATTTTGAAAACACCATGGCGCCCCCCAGTATCTGGTGGCTTGGAAGGATCTCCCAGTATCCCAGAATGAGTAGGTCTATAAAAAGCATGTTAGAGCCCCAAGATTGCTCAAACGCTTTCATGCACGTTATCTGGGACAAGCCTGATTCACTTCTCATTTCTTTTTCTCCCCATGTTATTGTTTTCTATTTCTCCAGGTGGACCTCTCCTTCTTTTAAGGAGGGTTATTTTTGGGGTACTGCCATTCTGTTGGGAGGAGGGAGGTTTCGCTCTTTGGGGAGGGGAAGCTCTATGGGCTCTGGGATGTATTTCCTTTATTTTGTTTTTTTCACCTTTGATGCATCTCTCTGGGTGTGAAAGAGAAGAGGAATGTGCCTGGGCCATCTGTCTTAACTCTATTCCGCTGGGAAGAGACTGGGAAGAAAATGAAACGTCTGTGAACTGCAGTTTATCACTCTGGTTCTCATAACAACTTTGTACCTGTGGATTGGCTGAAATCAAACTGGACAGTTGGGCACTGGAGAGGGGTTTGAAGAAGAGTTTTAATGTATCATTTTGCACTGGAATTATTCAGATCTTGTCTTGCTATTCTGCTATCATTATCTCAATAAAAGTTCCTTTTGAAATGATGCCAGTTTCAGGAGTTCTGCTTCCTTGGGAGTGCTAGCTGAGGCAGGACCTTACAGTAGGTGAAGTTGGAAAACTCATATATAATAAGAAACTTAAAATATGGCACCTTTTTTCAATAACCACTTTGTAATTTTGAAGTTTGAACAAGGTCAGGTTGAATAATGTTGTGCATTGTATATATATTTGATTTAATCAAATCAGGAGTCAAATTGAACCACTTCTGTAGCCCTGAAGGTTGTACCTAGATTTTTACAAAGTGAATTACTGCAAATTGTTTGCTAGATAGAAGGCTTCAATTTCAACACACCTGTTGTAGTTTGTTATTAGGTAATCTTTTTGATGAAATAATACAAAATGCATAAAAGCAGAAATCCATATATGAAGTGGAACAATTTCTGAGTAAGCCTACACAGATACAAAAATATTTAAAATATAAAATTTTCTATTCTATTAAGCTATTCAGAATAATATCAAGATTTTAGTAACAAAAACTGTATTGATATAATATCTTCCAAGTCTCTAGCCACATCTGGGTTTATTTCAGTTAAAGAATCCAACCAAATCCTACTAATAAAATCACAAATTGTGTTTCTTTAGTATGCTAAAATTTAATACATCAATTTGGAACCTAATGAGCATTTTACTATGGTCTGAAAAAATAATATGGTTCAGATTTACATTACAGTTTTTGGTTTTAATATAAGACTACAAAATGAAATGAGTCTCTAAAATAACTTGCAGATATTACTTCATAATTTGGCATAAATCCTGTTGTTATAGTGTTGATTATTTTATTAATATTGAACATTACTTATATTTTTTTCTTCCAGATAAAATGTAACTGCTTGTTAGATTTAACTAGGGAAGACATATTTCTTTGGTCATTTTGGTAGTAATGCTGAAAGTGCAGTTCAATTAAATTCTTTCTATATAATGTTGACTTGGTAAAATCTCCTTGTATATTCAGATTTGGCAGTGTGGAGGACAGCTGCTATTTGTGCCTTGTTCTCGTATTGGGCACATATATCGTCTCCAGGGATGGCAAGGGAATCCACCTCCAGCTTATGTTGGATCATCTCCTACTTTAAAGGTAATGCTTATGTCCCTAAAATATTAATAAATGTAAATCTTTTATATCATTTCATATTAATGATTGAATTAAATTAAAGCTGTATAGGTTCCCATTAGATTTATTTACTTATTTAATGTATGGCATATAATGTCAGGGAAATTGACACATGCTAGACACACAGTGCAGTCCTGACAGTCTAGACTGCTAGTTGATTCTGTTTGGCACTTGCAGGTCTATCCTTGGTGTGCTGCTGGGGGCTTTACACCAATTAGTTAGCAGTACACGGGTTGATAGCTTTTCCAGGCTCCTCTGCCAGTCTTGCCTTGGGTCGCAATGCCTTACATATGGCCAGGTCCAGCACTGGCTTCCACTCTCTGCATACATGAACTCAGCTAAGTTTTTCCCAAGTAAATAAATTCCCACCATTTATCTACTTGCAATATTGCATGTTTTGAACTGCTGGGTGGGCAGGAACTAGGGATCAAGCGACAGGAGCTCATTCCATCTCACAGAGCCGGGCTCAAACCACCAGAGTGCATATCACGCACTACATCCCCTCCACACCAGAAATGAATAGGAATGCAGAAATTCCTATTCAACTATTCAGATATATTGCTAACAGATCTAGATTGACTAGACAGCCTCTGACCATAAGATCAAATTAAACCTAATTTGAATCGTGCAATTGGACAATTTTGCACATTCTTATAAATATTTTCTAATTATCTATCCCTATTTAGTTAATAGATGAACATTCAGTGATCCCAGGCAATTTTTTTTGCATTCTCTGGAAAGCCACCTAAATCGTACTGCTGACACTTCACAGTGAAGTTCTAAATGCAGTCTTTAAACTGTAAAAAGCTTCGCCAACCCTAGTTTATTAAACAAAGATACATAAAAAGTTTTCAATATAATTCCTTACTAATCATCCTGTAAATTGATAATAGGACAATATTTTTTTGGTCCCAACTTTCACATTGTTACAGTAGACGTGACTGGGATTAAACCTTCTTTATACCAGTCTTAAATTCATAGAGTGAACTACTTTAAATCCACTTTGAGCCATTGAAGATGTAAATTGACATTCCTTTCATTCATAATATCCTTTCCTGAATGAGAGAGTAGAATAAAATCATTCAAGCCACAATTGAGCCCAAAATTTCTGTTGCTAAGTGAGACATTTTTAAAGAGAATTTTCCTCCATTTTACTACTTTTCTTGCCACAGTTAAGTGAATCACTACAGGGTGTTAAATTAGTAACATGGTTGTTAAGAGAATCTAACTCCCCTATTGACTTTACTTGTCAGAAGGTGGGAAAAGGGGATTTACATGAACCCAGGAGACACTGCAACTGTCATAAATATGAGTCAGTTGCCAAGTGTCTGAATTTTGATGACATGACCATGGGGATGTCGTAAGTGTGGAAAACGGCAATAAGTCATTTTTATCGATGCTGTTGTAACTTCAAATGAACAGTTTACTAAATGAACTATTGTACGTTGAGGACTATCTGTAGTTGCTTTCCATTTTTTTAAATGTATGCATTAATTTTGTGTGTTTTACAGAACTATGTCCGTGTTGTTGAGGTCTGGTGGGATGAATTCAAAGATTATTTCTATGCTAGTCGTCCTGAAACAAAAGCACTAGCTTTTGGGGACATATCAGACCTGAAGAATTTTCGTGAAGATCACAAATGCAAAAGCTTTAAATGGTTTATGGAAGAAATAGCCTATGATATAACTTCTCATTATCCTCTGCCACCTAGAAATGTGGAGTGGGGAGAGGTAACTGTTCTTTCATCTAAGTCAATATTTGAATAATCTCCTGAGCTAATGCTAGCCTTGTCTATCTAAGAATGTATATTGGATTAGGAACATAGGGGAATCTCTGAAGAAATAGGTGTCTTATATGTAAAAAGTATTTAAACTGTTGGAACCATTAGATCACATATTAAACCATATTTAATTAAATTCAGGCGTTCTGAACAAAACCAGTTTGTCAGAAAATAGTGCTGATTTTCCAGGTAGTAGTTGCCAACCAACTAGCGATACATATGCCATATTGTTGTCTGAGCTGAAACTGAAAATTTAGATTTTTTTGTAAACCTTTGCAAAAAGTAACAGATAATTCATATATTAACATCAGATTTTAGGCATTATGGTCTGGAAGAGAATCAAAATGTTAGTATTAATTATATGAATAGAAAATTGTTTCCTAGGGGTTAGGCACTATAAAAATGAAAACTAATTGTGGATAGAATGGTCCTTGTGCTTTTTTCAAAGAAGAGTTTTGTGATCAGCATGTTGTAATAAATAAGCCAACGGGAGTTAAAATAAGTGTTGTCTTTATAAAATTGAATTTAGATGGCAAAGAGAAGAGTACGTAAAGAAGTGATTTATTCATAATGATACTCATTTATGAGATTGATAAAGATTGAGACAAATAGAGCAAAATGCTGTTTCTTAAAAAAATAGGAAAAAACAAGACAAAAATCTGGAAGATTTTAAAATAAAGCTTGCAGTTATTGCCAAGGCTATTTTGCCATTCACTGCCGTTCAAATAATTGGTCACTGACAACTGCCAAGTATAGAGAATAGTATGATATCACGCATCATTAACATATTGCCTGTAGATTACTTATTCGGAAAAAAACTCCTTGTTCTTTGCCTCTAATAAAAAGAATTCTTATTCTCATGCAACAGATATTTTCAATATATTTCATTACATTTTATTCATTATTGTGCTTGCTGTTGTGAAATAATCTTTAATATATAATACAGTTTGTGACAATGGTAGAGAATATTAGGACAGATTCATTTATGTATCCCATTTATTGGGAAATCATGCTTTAAACAAGCAGTGGAATTCATAAAGGGAAGATTCTCTGTGCTGATAATTGAGTTGAAAACAAGATTAGGTATATGCACAAATTCTCTTGGTTTTTCATTTTAGTGTTCCACAATCCAGGGCTAAAGAACTTGTCATCTCTAGATGTTGGTGAACTACAGTTCAGCAGCTTCTACTGTGCCCCGCAAAGGAAAAATGTGGCTATAGTTCGCCAATATCTGGAGATCCTTAGGTTCCTTATAGCTGAAGTTCCTTTGAGAGTGAACACAACATGCATTAATTATAAGAAGATTTATAGGGTTTACTTTGAATCTTTTGTTATTTGCTATGCTATTTACCTTTATATATGCATGAGTTATATTAAACTGTTTTGTTGTGGATTACAAATAATAGTTTTCCATATTATTTCTATTTATTATTAATTTACTATATTGTAACAGTAGTACAAATCATAAATGTGTTTCAGATTAGAGGTTTTGAAGCAGCATACTGCATAGATAGTATGGGTCATACCAATGGAGGCTTTGTGGAACTTGGTCCATGCCATAGAATGGGAGGAAATCAAGTAAGTAGACTCAGATAATGTTTTCAGTTGTGAGCCAAAATATTACATAAATTGCTTATGATTTTTAGATTGGAAGCTGCCTTCCTTCCTAATATAAGAGACATTTTTGTGATATAAACATCTTATCACAGATTTATTTTCTTATTCGTGTGTATATGTGTATAGCGTAAAAGTTATTACTCTCCCATATGCCTTGCTTCAATAAATACTATGTATACTGTAATCTCTTTTATTGGTTTATTTGAAATTGTTTCTTTTTTAAAAAAAAATCTGCTTTGAATGTAATATATACATTCTATATGTAAAGGGATTATGGCTGTAATTCTGCTTCAGTTTATATGATTTTGACAAATAAACTAAAGCAGTTGCTACTTTTATTTTCATGCCATGTAAACAGGAATAATATCCTCACTCTATATTCGGGTGTACTTAAGACTTAGCAGTTCAGTTTCTATGTACCCTTCTCTTATTTTAGTCTTTCAAATAAATTTTCGTTCTGAAAGTTTCTGAATGCAGAAGCTGAAATGCAGAAGTTGCAGTTTAATATTCAGAAGAATGCAAAGGTTTACTGAATATTAATAAAATGTTGATCCATAAAATATGTTGATCCATGCATATCCAAGTTATTTCAAGTGTGTGTGTCAAATTATAGATTCTAAGTATTGCAATTGTGCTTGTTTCATGCATTCTTAATAGATTTGATATGTGTGGTATAGTGGTTAAGGTTCTTAGCTAGGAATAGATACATACACTTTCAAATCTATCCTCAAATGGTAATATTTAGCATATAGCTTTCTAAATTTTTTGTCATAATTATTTTTGCCAATACATATTTAAGAATGCCTCTTTAATTATATTTATAAGCTGATTTCAGTCTTACTTGTGTGCAACAATATGCTTTATATGGTAACATTTTTTAGTTATTAGAACAAAATATGCATTGTTTTTAATATTTATTTTTAGCTCTTCAGAATTAATGAAGCTAACCAACTCATGCAGTATGACCAATGCTTGATTAAAGGACCTGATGGATCAAAAGTTATGATTACACATTGCAATTTAAATGAATACAAGGAGTGGCAATACTTCAAGGTATCTGATTAGTGCTGAGAGTCCCATTAGGATAACAATGATTAATTCTTTTTAATTTTAGATAGATTTAAATAATAGCATAAAACAGGTTGAACTAGACATGAATATTATGTTCTGATGGTTTCTTCTGTGTAACTCCCTTTGTCCGTCATAGAAACCATTACTGTTTACGAACAAGATTTAATGAATTTATCCACCATATTTTAATATCTATGTATGTATATATGCATGTATGTATTATTTTGTGATGTAAAAGGCAAGCAGGAAGGGTAAAGAACTTGCAGGCACACCAGTAGTGTGATGTCTTCAACTACTTACCGTATTTTCCGGCGTATAAGATGACTGGGCTTATAAGACAACCCCCAACTTTTCCAGTTAAAAGATAGAGTTTGGCCTATATCAGGGGTAGGCAACCCAAAACACTCAAAGAGCCACTTGGACATGTTTCCCACCGAAAACAAAACACTGGGAGCCGCAAAACCCTTTTGATATCTAAAATGAAGATAAGACTGCATATATCCTTTTTTTACCTTTATAATATGTGTGTGTGTGTGTATGTTTGTGTGTGTATATATAAAATAAAGGTAAAAAAGGATATATGCAGTGTTATCTTCATTTTAGATGTCAAAAGGGTCTCTCTCTGTCTCTCTTTCCTTTCTTTCCTCTCTCTCTTTCTTTCTCGTTCCTCTTTCTCTCTTTCCTCTAACTTTCTCTCTCTCTTTCCTTTCTCTTTCTCTGTCTCTTTCCTCTTTCCTCTTTCTCGTTCCTCTCTTTCCTCTCTTTCTCTTCTCTTTCCTTTCTCTCTTTCCTCTTTTCTCAATCTTTTTTCTCTTTCCTCTCCCTCTCTTTCTTTCTCTCTTTCCTCTTTCTCTCTCTCTCCTTCTCTCCCTTTCCTCTTTTTCTCTTTCCTCTTTCCTCTTTCTTCTCCCTCTTTATCTCTTTCTCTTTCCTCTTTCCTCTCTCTTCTCTTTCTCTTTCCTCTTTCTCTATTTCATCTCTCTTCTCTTTCTCTTTCTCTCTTTCCTCTAACTTTCTCTCTTTCCTCTCTCTTTCTCTGTCTCTTTCTCTTCCTTTCTCTTTCCTCTAACTTTCTCTCTTTCCTCTTTCTCTTTCTCTTCTCTTTCCTCTCTCTTTCCTCTTTCTCTTTCCTCTCTCTCTTTCCTCTTTCTCTCTTTCTCTTTCCTCTTTCTTTCTATCTTTTTCTCTTTCCTCTTTCTCTTCTCTTTCTTTCCTCTTTCTCTCTTTCTCTCCCTTTAGGTTAGGAGAGAGAGAGAGAGAGAATGAAAGGCAGACGGTGCCGAACAGGCAGGGAGGGGAGCAGGACGGGAGGCAACAGCTCCCGGCCACCGCCCCCATTGCGTCCTCAGCCGAACGGGCAAGGAGGCAGCGGCTCCAGTAGCGGACACTGCAGCATCGTCGGGGTCAATGCCGCCGCCGCCCCTGACCCGTCCGCCGCTCCCGCCGCATCCTCAGCCACTTCGCCGTCGCAAGAGGAGGGCGCCAAGGCCGGGTGCACCATGGGTGGCCGCAGCTGCTACGGGGAGTGTCGCCGCGGGGACGAGGGGGGGCCCGATTGCCGCCACCCTCGCAGCCCAAGGTCTCCTTCTCCTGCAGCACCGAGGGCGGCGGCAGCTCCCCGAAAGTGGCCGAGGAAGGCACCACCGATGGGGCAGGGAGGCGGAGAGCCCTGCAGCAGCCAGGCGAGCTTCATGCCTGACTGCCACCCGGCCCGGGGAGAGATGTGGCCGGCACGGCTTCCCGAGGTGCGATGCCCCCGCTGGCCGCCAGCCCAGCCATGACTGCCGCCCGGCCCGGCGAGACATATGGCCGGCTCGGCTTCCCGGGGTGCGATGGTCCCGCCGGCTGCCACACCAGCCATGACTGCGGCCCGGCCTGGCCTGGCCTGGGGAAACGTGGCCGGCTCGGCCATATTTTCCGGCGTATAAGACAACTGGGCGTATAAGACGACCCCCGACTTTTGAGAAGATTTTCAGGGTTTAGAAAGTCATCTTATACGCCGGAAAATACGGTATTTACTTACTTTCTTACTTATTTCTTTATAAGATTTTTTACTACCTGAAATCTTACTGCCCTCTACATGGCTTACTGAGCTTCCATTATACAATGCAATGCAAAATCACTATAATAATTAAATAATGCAATTGGCAATTAAGCAGTAGAAGTAATAATACCACATTCATAGTGGTTGCATTTAACTCTTCAAAGGGATTGGAAAGCCTTGAGGGTTGAGATGATCCTCATTTCCAGGACAAGCTACTTCAGAGGAACGAAACTGTGATAGAGGATGCTCACTCTGCTCTATATGTACTGGTAAATGGATCTTATGGATCTTTTAGCAAGGGCTTCCTAATTGGATAAGAGAGCAAAAATCCTGTTTTAATATCATCCCTGGGCTCAGCTGCCTATACTGCCAAGGCTCTAGATAATCTTCATCTTCTAGAATTTTCTACAATTTCAGTTCAGATCAGTAGCCTACCCAAAAAGAAAGGTTAAACATAGAAAGTTGCTTAAGTCTGATGTACCAGACTTGGCCTCTTGAGTCAGCAAACTAGTGCCTCGTTAAGAACCTCTGCCATTTCCTCTCAAAAAGGTATTGATGACAGCCTTGAACCAGCTCATAGTCCTTTCCATAGTCCAGTTCAGTCTGCAAGTGGTAGAGTCAAGAATATAAAGGACTTCGTGCACTCTCTCTTTGGAGTAGAGGGGAGAGTTGATCTCACAGGGTTGAGTCAGTATGTGGTGGGATGGATTGTGTGGATTAATAAAATGGGCAAGGTTGTTTTGTTAGTATTTATTGCTTTGTTTATCTTGCTATATATGTTATGTATTGTTGTGTATCTAGAATTAGGAAGAGGAGCAATTATTAATTAAAAATAATCTTCAACTTAATGACTGTTTGAAGTTTCAGTGGACTTCCCCAGTGTTACTTGCAACATGTAATGACCTTGCAACATGTAATGGATCTCTCCCTCCCCACACACACAGATAAAAACGCTGTGGTCATGTTTTGGGCTTTTGATAGCCAACTCACTTTTACTGTTTGTAATGTCCCACAGTCACATAACTGTCATTTGTGACATTTTTAGCTGGTTTCCCTATTTACTTCTGGTTTCTAGCAAAAAAAACCTTTAGAGAAAATGAATTCACTTAATAATTGCTATGTTAGCTTATTGACTGCCACATTACATTAATGATGTCATAAAAAAACAGTCATGACTTTGAGTCCAGTCACATGATGCCTCAACTTACAATTGTAATTTCAGGATTAATTGCAGTCATAAGACTACCTGTACTGGCTTGACTATGATTCACAGAGCCTCTCAGGGATGGGGAATTTGATTGCAGATGAGTAAAAATAGAGGGAATAACAGTAGTGATGGGCAGCATAAAATTGGCACACAAGATACCAAAGGCTGTCCCAGCCACAGCCTTCACTTATTGTTCTGGCAGAAACGTTGATTCCAAAAGCCCCAAATTATGAGCCAACTCCATTTGGTAAGTGTGACCTTCTAGAGTTAAAGATTAAATATTTCCTGATTGAATAGGCTTTGGAATTATAGAAGTTTTTCTTGCGAGGATTCATACTGAGCCTATTTTTCTTCAAGTTACTAGGTCAGGACTTCCACTGAATTACACATTTATTTATTAAATTTTATTTGCCACCCATCTCATTTTGCAATGACTCTAGGCGCCTTCTGTCATTCAATCAGAAGTGGACATGTATAATTGAGTATGAGTTGCATATTGGTTATACATTACCTATGCCTACTTATGACCTTTCCGAAAATGTACATTTAGAAGCTGAATAGTGGGATAAAAGGCTGGCTCCTGCAGGACTCACATTAGAGCTCCTACATACCTGATACCTCAGCCTCCACCATGGTCATTTGAGATCAGCCCCTCTGGAAGGTAAAATACCATTATAAAATTGAGCTTTATGCTGGTCCAGCTGTGGTAGATGGCATCAAAAGTCATTTGAGGACCAGGAGGGTCACACTATTCCTAACCAAATCTTCCAACAGACAACTCTTACTTAGGTGCTCACATACCTAAGTCCCAAAGTTTTAGTCACAGAATTTTATTTTGTTGCTCAAAAAGGAATATTTTTATTGAGTCTGTTTTTTCTTTTGTGTATATATTGCTACTACAATATATTCCTTTGTATATTTTTTCTTGTAAATCTAATAGTAAATAGCAGATGCCTGTGAAAAATTGAAGATCCTTAGAATTGTCAGACGTAGGCATGTTGATCTAACAAATAGTTCCTAACCTATATTTCTACTCTGCTATTGAGAAGTTAAAGAAAAAATAAATTAGTTTTGTTGTTTTTAATTGGAAACTAATAGCTTATTGTTTTTGCTTTTCAGAATCTTTATAGATTTACTCACATTTCATCAGGGAAATGCTTGGACCGTTCAGAGGTTCTACATCAAGTATTTATTTCAGATTGTGACTCAAATAAAGCAACACAAAAATGGGAAATGAACAATATCCTAAGTGTGTAAACAAAATAGCTGCATCTACCTACTGACAAATGTAATTTGTAAAGAACTGAAAATAACCTGAAAACTGCTGCAACTGTTAACTTGTATAGCTGGGAGCCTGGAATGTCCTGATCTGGATGAAGGATTTAGACGAACTGTGATAGATTTATCATCTGCAGTTAATGTTTACAAAAACTGCTCTTACCTTAAATGTCAATAGATGTTTACATCTCTTTGCTTTCTTTTAGGGTGTTGTTTTAAGATGCTCTGGCTTATCATTTAAAGTGCTTTGACTTGTTTCACTGGAACAAAGTTAGAAGCACAAGCTTGGATCCAAAGTAGTAGGAGATTGTTTCTACGTGGGTCATTCCTTTTCCTCTTATGGTGACAACCCTATCCCAAGAGCCCTCCTTAAGGACCTTCTGTAAACTTTCTGTATGGTGTAAAGGGCTGAAAATGGGCAACTTCCCAGGTGTGTATAAGTGCCTTTCACTTGGGCACAAGCAAAAGAATTGGATCCAAGTATTTGTTGTCTTCTTTGGGATTACACTCAGGGGTTTGCAGGCAGTTTTTTTTTAATTCCAACATTCACACTTGAAAAAACTTGGAGTATAATATGGGGATTATTGACTTGTTATATATTGTTTTGTTTTTACATTTTACCAAGCACTGCCACAGGTTTATAGCCAAGGTGGCCTTCTTTCACAGTCATGCTGCTTTTTTGAAAAAAGAATCCTCAGTATATTTAGTGCCTCCTTAATTTTTCTTCCTTAACTAATCAGAGAAAATTTGTTACAGCATGAATATATTGAAGTCTCTCTTTTCTTGCTAGGAACAGGAAAAATTTGCAATGCACTCATTATATTTAAATAATGTTCTAATTTTACTAGTATACTCTTCATTCCTAATTAGTATATTAAATAATTGGTGCATAAAGCATACCAATAATGTGACATGAGTGTCCAAAATAGTAATGTTAAAACATCTTGAACATTTTGAAGGATTAAATTGGTGTAAAGGGTAGCACTTAAATCTATGAAGCATTTGTATGAAATAGCATTGAAACAGATTAAGTCTTCTCTAATTTGATGCCTCAAGTGGAATTTGTTGCACTGAATTGCAAAGATACAAACACTGAATTTCCCTGCTATATTATCCCTTACATAACAAGATATGTCAGAAATGAACAATGTGTCTACATCTGCCTAATATGGAATAGCAAAATTTACCTAGTTCAGTTCATAAAGTTGAATCCAATTTCTTAACAATTTCTGAATTATTTTATAGGAAGTATTTGGTAAGAAATCTATCCATGTATAGTAGAATTGGGGAGTGGGTCTTTGTTTCTTTGGTACGTAACTTGAGAATTTCATTCTTCCAAATAAATAGTTTAAGAGATGTTTTGAACAATTGGATTTGATATATCATGAAGACAAAATCAAACATAGAAAATTAAATATACAGCACATTAGGATTGTGCTGTGACTCTGTTTCAGTTTCAAAAATGTACTTGAGAGAATTCAGTGATATAAACATATCTGTCTTCATTTTTTTAAGGCATTTCTTTTCCTGAGGGAAAAAGCTGTAGAGGAAGCTGTGCAATCTAAAACTGCTTTAGAGTTGCACGTAGGTTCTATAATCACACTCCTGTACTTCCTGAATCACCTTTTCCAAACTATTTTGGAAGCACTGCTCAACCCTAACTAAATAAAAAAGTAAAGAATATTTTTTTAAAAATATGTGGTTAATAAAATGCATTTTTGGGGAGAATAAAAAAAATGTCCAAATTAAATATTCAGTCTTAAAGAGTGGTTTCAATAATTACATTGTAGGTCTGGTGTGAAGTAGTGCACACTTATATTCTACTGAAATACTTTATGCATAGAATCAATGAATTCCAATTCATTTTAAAATTAATTTTTTAAATGGTTTTCTTGAATTACAAAATAAGTGGCCTAGTGGTAAAGACGCTTATATCCCATTCGGAAGGTTGAGAGTTCAATCCTAGGTAGCGGCAGATGTTTCCTACAGCGCAAAGAAAAAAATATCTGCTGCAAACTCCAAGTAGTGTCAGGAAGGGCATCCTGCCAGTAAACGCTCAGTTCCATCCAGTCGCCCCGATCCTAATCCAAATTAAAGGATTACAGGGTCGTAAAAAGGGAGTTTATTGAATTACAAAAATAATTTCAATAGTGCAAATCTTTGGCACTGATTTTATCTACCCCTAAAAGAGAGTGATGGAGATTCTTTATTTAAAAGGATAAATGCTGTCCTTAAGACCAGATACATATAATTTAGTTTTAGGGTGATTTTTCAGGCATGTATTTTGGGTATTCCATTAAAAAAGTGTTAATAACTTGTAGAAGAAGTGGAAGAAGATGGGAAAAGGGTGATAAAATTTCTGGGCACATTTAATATTTCTTTGAATGAGAGTATGTCATTCTTTTTGGAAAATATATTAATCAGATTACTATGCATAAGTGAGATTGCACGTTGTGCAAGTGTGTATGTGCTAAATGGGTATTGTGTGCAATCCATTTAAAATAATATTGTATGTGAGAATGGATCTGTATTTTTAAACATCATTCTTATAACATAAGCCGTTATTCCTAATGACTTTTCATACTGTAACCTGCTTTTTAAGTAGATCCCATATCCTTGCTCTGTAAGTTGATCACTATGCATTTCTACGCATTTTATAAATTTGATTTATGCAGATTTTGATACACTGTATGTTTCTGTAAAGATTGTATAAATCTTCAAAAGTTTTACAGGGAATAATCTGGGGATTTTTCTGTATATCTTCTGGGTTGCTTATTTTTTAGGTGAAGAAATAAATTTTAACTTGTGGGTTTATAATATATTTGCACCAGTAATTGATTTTCCCTTAATCATGTTCATCATTCATCAAAATACTTTGAGAAAGTATATATATTTAATGCATACATGAAAGGATTCATAAATTCATAGATGAATGGATAGATTGTTGTGCTGCCTCATTATGGTGGTGGATGTTGTTTCTGGATGGGATGAACAAACAATAACAGGAATGTGTGCCAAAAGTATATATTTCCAACAGGGTTACCCAGCTCATGAAGGTCATCCTAGCTGCTGAGTTAAAGCAAGTTGATACTTAAATCTTGGCCATAAGCAGTATAGGAAGATACCAAAAGGGATTATCATATTAACGGCATCAATTCATACTACACATGAGAAGTCAGTGATCAACCACTCTGTATTTTTACCAAGAAAAGTACATAATGTCAGAGATATAGATGAAGTGAAAAATGAGTTTTGGCCTATGGATAGAAATAAAACATTATGCCTTAGAATTTGGCTGGGCCAATCTAGGTGGAGCTGGTGGTTACTCCATTGGTCAACCCAGGCCCAGCTAATGCAAAATTCAAATAATCCAGGTTTCAACTGAGGCAAATTTGGAACAATATTACATGCAAATAGGGCATTGCTGGGACACTTCTGCTTTCCTTTTGCATGTGGTTTGTACAGCATCCTGCCCACTGATTTTCCTCTGCACTGGATACCTATGCTGCCTATCTTCCCAGCACCTTGTTTCCCCATAACTTCTACTTACAGCACTTCCACCCTATATTTTTACCCTCACCATCCTGCATTTACTTCTCATGCCTTTCTATCACCACGGGCATTTTCCTTGGTATTCCCATCCTGGAATGCCTTTGGCAAAATAGCCAGCTCTGAACCAACAAAGCACACAAGCTTTGATCCATGCAGAAGTTTCCTTATAGTATCTGATCCATACATGGACTAGTTTGTTTATTTCTAAGACAAGAACATTAGAGTTAAAAATGTCCAGGCATAGCATCAAATCTTATTCTGAAAGTCAATAAAAGTTTATTGTATGAAGGCAAATCTTGCATCAATTTGCACTTGAAAATAGTTGCTATTTGTACTGGTGCACACACACTAAAATGTGTGTTAGTAGAAGAGAACTCATAACTTTTAAGTATTCACCTGTTTTAAAAAGCAGTAAGGTATTAAGATAAGAGTCAATGTGATTTTGAGACTGTTTTAAAAAGCAGTAAGGTATTAAGATAAGAGTCAATGTGATTAAAAGGGAAGTGTTAAAAACTTAAGAATTGCATTTCCCAATCTAGCCATTATGAAGATGACTCAAATATAAATATTCTTGAATAAGAGTGGCTGGAATGAAGATTTTCCATCATTTTTTTAATTTCATTTCTATAAAAATAACTAGGTCTTGATCAAAAAGCAAACATAATTGTTAATTTAATAACTTATTTTCATTGGTGGACATAAAGTATCATCAATTTGTGGACATTTAGCATATCCATTCTCTTCTCAAAGTTGAGGCGTTTATGCTTAGAAGCAGATGTTCAAAATGAAGTTTTCTATCATATTCCTTATCCATCTATTTATCACAATTAGAAAGTATATATTAAACTGAATTTGCTACCAATCATATCCGCATACATGCAATAATTAATAAAATCCCCACAATGACTATTTCCTACTAATATACTATAAAAAGAATATATATACTATAAAAAGAATATACGGTAGTAAATCTAGAAATAGAATTCAATTCAATTTATTGAATTTATTGTGGGGAAAAGAAATGAAAGAAAAGTACTAAGGAAATCGGGGATGGCTTGCCAATAGAATATGCTGCCATGATTTCTGCTGAAACTATCACAGTAAGAAAAGAGCATATAGCACACACCAAAGAAAAGTAGCATCAGGAAAACACATAGTCTGACCCTGCTTGCTCCATAGTCATCCCTTCAGGTTTTTTACTTGGTTAAAACTCAAAAGCATTTTGAGTCTTGGTTCTGCTGAAATGCTGCCACATTTAATGATTCACAAAATTTCTTGAACTTGAAAGAGGGAGCTGCAAATTGGGAAAATTGAAAATAGCTATATTTTCCATGTGGAAATAGGAATATTTTATATGAACTTGCATTCTATTAATGTGACATGTTGAAATTCTTTTAAGCAAGTTCTAGCGTAGGATATACTATTGTAGCAAAACATCAAATTCAGCTATTGTAGTTATGTTTCAAATATAGAAGATAAGGAGCTTACTGGTATGATTTTATTTTTCTTTCACAGTAGTTGTACAATTTAAAGGTTTTATTAATGTATTATAAGAATCTTGTATTCTAATCAGTACTGGTGAGAGCTGATTTACATGAAAGGAGGCAAAATTACAGCTAGCAGGCCTTAGTCAAGAAAACTAATCTGCCT